TGTGTGTGGGCTTGTGTGCGTTTATGTTTTTCTTTTGGTAAGTATTTTACGGCGCTCGCAACAGCACACGGAACCTCTATTTTTTTTTTCTCTTTTCCGAGAAGGCTAGGTGTTAGATTGTACCTACCAAAGATCACGGTGATGCTGAAACTGAAAGACAGCAGTAAGAAGAAGCCAAGGAGTACAGTAGAAAGGCTGCGAAACAGTCAGGAGCCCAGAAGAAGAAGGCAAAGAGGGTGGGGTTGGGGCAGAAAGTGGAGCCGAAAGCAGGCGACAGAACACGGTAAGAGAGCAGGAAAGGAGGCGAAATGAAAAATATTTTAGAGAAGGAAAATTTTCTGTAACTGTTAGGTTTCGAACACGGGACCTTTTGAATGAGAAGTGAACACCGTAACCTCTAGACCACGGGAGTCCCCCCCCCCCCCCCCCCCGGGTGTTTGTGTGCATGCCTGTAGAACGTAGCACTTGTAGAACAAGTCAAAATAGTATGAAGAGTATGCTCAGCCTGGCTCTTTTTACTTTAGATTGTCTGTCAGTTGTTTCCATCTTGTATTGTCTTGCAAAGTATCCAACGCCTAATGTTCCTAAGAAATTGTCAATGAAAGATTAACCCATATTATATCAAAAGAACGTTTCATTCTATGCATTTTTCTTCCAGATTTGTTGCAACTGTTAATGTTTAAAGCAAGCCGCCTATATGGGAGGGGGCTACATAGTGTGCAATACTAATATCACCCCCCCCCCCAAAACTGTAAGCTTAATTAGAGACAGCTGGGACGTAAAAGAACAATACTACTACAGCAACCAAACATTTTTAGTCTTTTTGGATTTTAAACTACATTTACACATACATGAAAAAAAAAGGGGAAAAAAAGACATTTTACCTTGTTCACCTTCTTCTAACAGTTGCAACAACAAAAAATTAACAGAATATACACACCCATTCATGAAGATGACTGCAAACTAAGCTTCCGACATGTTTTCTTTGATTTTAGTATAAAGCGAATTTTAAAACAAATTATAGAAGGATTTACAGTAAAAACGTTAAAAAGGTCACCTGCTATCATCAAAACCAAACTTTGACGCAAGAGTGAGAAACACGGTTCAAAAGACAGGGCGTGTAGCCTACTTTTCGAGGCTCACGTGGAGATGTCGAGGCAGCCATGGAAAGACATCTTCCAACTTATTCTGAAAAGGAGGGGCAGGGTGGTGTCGCGTTCTCAAAATAAGAAATAATTTGTAGGTTAGGCGACTGTAAGTGTAAGTCATTAATTTTACTGATCCCGCGTACTCCGTATGCACCCGAAGAGAATTTTTTTTCTATTGGGCCCGAATAGAAAAAGTTGAGGGGGGGGGGGTATTACTGGACCAAGATTTATTTATTTTTAAAAAGTAATTTTTGTTTGATGGCTGGTTTGCAGAAGTGCCATGCAAAGTTTCGAGGGCATAGGTACAGGGTAATAAAATAAACAGCAACTAACACATTTTTTTGGTACATATTTTCCTCCACGCCAAAGTTTTTTGTTTCAAAATTGTACACAACATTTTAGAGTTAAAAGGAATTTGTCTGATGTTCATTTTAGATAAATCCACAGAATAGTTTTTCTCTACATAGCTCGTATTTAACAACCCATTTTCAGCTTTGTAACCATTTTTGTAGCATAACGCATTCGGCCTACTACTAATAGTCCCAAAGATTGGAGCATATTGCA